GTAGCGCCCTGCCAGCCAGGCAGGGCGGATTCCACGCGAGGCAGCTAACTGCCTCGCTTCATTTTCGGTTCCAGACAAGGACTGTAGCATCCTGTATCGGACCCCAATCACAGCATAAGGGATGCTGTTTTTCCTTTTTTTTCTTTTCAACTGCTGTTCGTCCATAGACGAGGGCCCTGACTGAAGGCAGCCCGAGTTTGAACTGGATTTCAAACTCGGGCCCTGACTGAAGTGCCAAAACGCAGTTTGAAATGCATTTACAAACTGTTTTCGTGACTGCGCCCTAGTTACCCCTACTTTTTTTTATAGCTGGGTCCTTGTGTTAGCTGGGGCCCCACCAGCGGCCCCAACCCTGCACCCTAAAGGGTAGGGCAAAGGGGCAAAATTGCCGTTACCTCTCTCCATCCCTGCACCCTAAAAGGTAGGGCAAAGGGGCAAACATGCCTTTAACTCTCTCCACCACATAGAGAGGTAACCTCCCTTCACAGAAGAGACATAGAAAGCTGTGCTTGCAGGGGCCCCCTGTATACCGTTAGGAGTAGTGGTGCGTACCTAATGAAAGAAAGATATGTTCCATGACATAGCTCAGTGGGTACACCATTGAACTGTTGAAATACAGACCCGAGTTTGAACCCGGTGATGGAACCTGATGAAACCAAATATTTCTTTTTTTTTTTCTTTTTTTTAAAGGCCAATTCTTTAAGCCCAACCAATTCAATTACCTGTCAAATCTGGACAGGGAAGGCCTTATTGTCACTATAATATAGAGGGAACCCCGTAGCAGCCACGTCCCTGCTCAAGCCTCCAAAGAGGGAACATGCGGGAGCTGCACCCACCAGCAGGTGGGATACCTGCTGCAGCAGGTGGGCGATACCGGCCAGGGGTCAGCCGGTAGCATCAGGACAGAGCTTCTATGGGCCGGTCCCTCCCCCTATGAACATCAGCAGTCTCTGCTCAATGCCACTCGGAGGGACCAACGGCATATCTCTAGGTGGCGGGCGCCAAGCTTGCCCAGGAAGGTACATGAGGCCAATGGGGATTGAACCCAAGACCTCCTGAATGCCACTTGCGTGCCTTACCAACTGAGCTATGCTGTTCGGTCACCATATAGGACCGGTCAGCTCAATGATGATAAAACAAAACAAAAACAAAAAAAACAAAACAAAAAGGAAGAAACGAAAAAGAAAAGAAAAGGGCGGGAGATCCTTTTTGCAGTTGTCGACCCACCCACCCACTTTTGCTCTTTTCAAGAGTGGTGTGGCGATGCCACTTGGCGAGCAGCGGAGCGCGGCAGAGATTGGTTTCCTTTTGTTGCTCATGGCCGGGCAACAATCGTAGATGTTGGGCCTCGCTGCAGTACTCTTGAAATGTGCAGAACGAGAGTGAATCTTGCGCTAGAATATGGAAAGATACACCGCCAATATTTTTGTCTTTTGTGCATGTCGAGAGTAGTGCAGCGAGGCTCATTCAATCAATATTTCTAGATCGTAAATCCCACCGAAAGTGCCGGTGGATACTACGCGCGGGAAGGCACGGACACAACCAGGCAGGGAATCGCGCGGGAAGGCACGGACACAACCAGTCAGGGAGGCGCCAGTAGACGTGCAGTGTGCAGTGCAGTACTGGCCTCGCCGCACGGCACAGACAACGAAATGAAAACGAGTGCATCGAAGGCGGGGATGGCAATCAACAAGTCTGCTAGGGCATACACACTCACACTGGCAATTTGCTAAACGTATCTGGTAGCAACCGCAGCCCGACCTGGAAGAATCTAGCAGCAATCCGGTCCAGAAATAAGCAGAGAAAGCTCTAGTCTGGGTATGCCCTTATACTGAAATGGTGTGTGAAAGGGGCATACGCTCTGGCCCCAGTTACCAGCACGCGACGCTCCTCTCGGGTAGTCTGGAGCCATCGCGGAAAGGTTAGGACGCTTCATCGGGCAGGTGCTCTTACCCCTGGTCTGATCAATGAAGCGCCCTTTCGTAAGATGCGTATACAAAAAAAGGAAAGGAAAAAAAAAAAAAAAAAAAAAAGAGAGAAAAAAAAAAGCAAAACAGGAGAGCACTGCACGTCAGCACCTGCAACTGGGAGTATAGGACTTGGCGGCAGACAGTTCCGCGTTGCGGGTCTTGTGGAGGCGGCCGGTAGCGGAGAAGATGGCGCATGTGATGAAGGAATAAAAGGAGATCGCAGACGTTTCCCAGATCAAGCGTGCGCTCGCAACCGTACGGGGGAGCGATTACGATTGTGTCCTTTCGGAGCAAGGTACGTGGTGAGCAGTGGTTCTGTGTACTCGCTTCAGCAATACCTCAGTCGTTTTCCGTTCCGTCCTTTCGCTACGTCCTTTTCCTATTTCCTGTCTGAGTCCGCAGTTTCGTAGCCACATCTACCTTCTTTCTTATGTTCTCCCATGTCTTCCCGGCATTCTCCTGCGTCCGGTTTTCTTCTTCTTTGTCTGCCTCGCCTTTCCGTGGCATGGACTAAATTAAGGCACTCCTTCAGTTAAGCTAATGTTGGCCTAGGTTAGCAAGGAGAAATCGCACTCTATATTCTCCTTCGAGTGGCAAAGGGGGGTCGGTTCGTCTGTCTGTCTCTCTGTCGCCCCTCACCTCGCCTTTCGCTCTCGGCTGTTTGATGTTACTTTTTGTCTCTGTGGTTCGTTCGCCGTTGTTTGTATAATTGGTGCGGCGTGTCTGTGGAGCAGTTTGCAGAGGTTTCAGGACTGATGGTCGAAAGGAGGGACTGTTTGGGCTTGGAAGGTCCAACTAGCTGTACGTACAATGAAAGGAGGTTGTCCAACGTGCTTGTGTTGCTAGTGCTGACGAGCCTGCCCGGTCTGCACCTGAATCTGGTGGCCTGTTTGCCGCATCTTCCCGTGTCTTTCCTTAAAGTTGCCGTTTAGCATCGAGCAGCGGCAAAATCATGCGATTGACTTGCTGAGTGCGAGAGAGGTCTCGTGGTGTGCAGTTGAGCATTGTTGCGTACTAGGCAGAAGTCATGACGCCACATTTCCATCGGGTCGAACAGCAGATTGCGTACGGTTCTCGGACAGTCCGTCGCGTGAAAGAGAAGCTTCCCGTTCCAAAATTTTCCTCCAACTACTGATACTCTCCGTGTCTATCTTCGCGTTCGAATGTCTTCCTGCTCTTCCGCCTTTCAACCTAGCTGTTTTAGCGGAGTCGCGTTCGAGCTCACCCCACTCCAGCTTCTCTTTGACCGCCGAATCTGCTGCGCGTCTGAAGCTCCTGAACCCTCGAGCGCCTGACCAACGTTTCCGTCTCGCTCTTTTGTCCGGGTCTGAAACTCTCTGTTTACCGTTAGAATAGTCATCCTTGTCTTTTCTGTTTGCTATGATCGTTTTGGATCTGTATCTCAGTGCGATGCTCGTAGCTTGCGTGGTAGCTCAGAGAGGTCGTAGAGAGCTGCGCCGTGAGTTCGAGCAAGTCGTTCGCTGGCGACGCCATGATGAAGCTGACCAATCGTGATACTTATACTTGTCACATCGCTGCGTTGCCTATCTTTTTCTCTGTATGATGGTTGCTTGTGTGTCCTGTTGCTGCAGGGTGCGCTGTTGGAAATTTAAAGTCGCCAACCAATCATAACGCCAACCAATCATAACCTCTTAACCGAAAGCCGTGCCCGGTGCAAAGATGGGTCGGTTTACTGCGGCCTTGGCCGTTGCGAGTTTGGTTGTCCTGGCTTGCGTCCTCCATGTCGCGGATGCCAAGGCGCCATGTCCGTGCGCACCTGGGACGAAGCGCTGCTGTAAGGACGGTCCATGCGTCAAGTGCTGCAAGGATTGCGACTGTGGCCCTGGGAAGAAGTGCGTCAAGGGCGAGTGTCAGCCCTCGTGCGGCTGCCCCCCTGGACTGAAGCGCTGCTGCAAGGACGGTCCGTGCGTGAAGTGCTGCAAGGACTGCGACTGTGGCCCCGGGAAGAAGTGCGTCAGGGGAGAGTGCAAGCCCTCGTGCTGCCCCCCTGGATTGAAGCGCTGCTGTAAGGACGGCCCCTGCGTGAAGTGCTGCAAGGATTGCGAGTGTCCCAAGGGGCACAAGTGCGTCAACGGACAGTGCAAGTCCCCGTGCGGCTGCCCGACTGGGCTGAAGCGCTGCTGCAAGGACGGTCCCTGCGTGAAGTGCTGCAAGGACTGCGACTGTCCCAAGGGGCAGAAGTGCGTCAGGGGACAGTGCAAGCCCCCGTGCGGCTGCCCGCTCGGACTGAAGCGCTGCTGTAAGGGCGGTCTCTGCGTGAAGTGCTGCAAGCATTGCGATTGTCCCAAGGGGCACAAGTGCGTCAACGGACAGTGCAAGCTTCCGTGCTGCCCCAAGGGACAGAAGCGCTGTGTGCCCTACGGTCCGTGCCAGAAGTGCTGCAAGGATTGTGAGTGTCCCGCCGGGGTGAAGTGTGTCCTGGGAGAGTGCAAGCGCCCTTGCGCAACCGCAACGGTCACACCTCTCGGCAAGTAAGCCATGGCGGCATCCAGGGCGCTGGTAGAAGAAATTTGTTCAGGGACGGTGCAAACCTGCGCGCAGGCAACGAGTAATGTGGCGCCGCTTTTCCGTTCGCCAGAAGGGCAAATCCAGGATAACTACTTTTCCTCAAGCACCACCACTAGTAGAACGGACGAAGCGCTGAGGATGTCTGCAGTACGCGTTGTTGCGAATCAGCTTGCTTACCCTAGTACTCTGGTTCATACGAGGAAACAATGGGGGACTGCGAACACCGGGAGGCGGGAATAAGGCATAGTGCGCAGAGCGGGCTCTACAGCAATGGTTGAACGATTTGACAGATTTAGCGGGTAGGTTTCCATTGTAGGAAACAATTGAGGATCGAGGTTGATCTGCATCCGCCATGATTGCCACTAGGTTACCGTCTTCAGTTTTCATGGGTCGTGACAAAATCGAACTAGGCTCATCACCGACAGCCGAGCCTCTGAACTTGGGACTGCCAACGCCGGGATTCGTGGATAAGGCATAGTGCAGACGGCAGTGTGCTCTTGGTTTCCCGCAGTCATGGGTGACCCTCCATGAGGCTTTGACATGGCTGTCCGCCGTAATTGATTGGTAAAGAGAGGAGTCCGAACCTGTTCCTATTCTCAGATTGTTAGCCTTCAGCCCAGCAGATCGAGCCGGATCTGCTTTATTGTTTGCTAACAATGAAATCAATTTCTCATTTTCGCTCGTTACCATGTTTTTGAGTCCCAGTGCTGTTGTCTGATCTCTCCCCTCCTTTCTGTTGTTGATGGTTCTGTTGTCTCTTGTACCTATATGTGGATGCTGATTGAGTAAGAACGTGAATTGTACAACACATGAAAGGGGCTCTTGATGGAATGCCTTTGCGTGCTCCCATGTCCGACGCGCACCCCCCTTGATCCCAGCCACCCTGCACCCGAACCGTGCGTTCTAGAATGAAGTTAACAAATGTCCTTAATCTCGCCTCATGCAATAAATGAGCCTATACTCGCAGCACAAACCATGATCTCTCTCTCTCTCTCTCTCTCACACACACACACACACACACACACACACACACACACACACATATATACACACACACTTGTGCACTTCGTTTTCACTTTTTTTTTCGACTGATTGATGGGTAGGAGGGGGGTCGTCCGCTCCCCCCCTCCCAACACACGCACCCATATTTCTTGATTTTTTCACAGTTTTATATTTTATTTTTTCTGGTGCCGAAAAAATTTGATTTGGAAAAAACAACATAATATGGGGCTGTAGGGTCCGAAAAACCCCGTAACCCCATGTTTTTATTTTTGTTTATGTTTTATTTCGCATGGGGAAAATCCTTAAAAATCATGGCCCCAACTTCGGGGCCTCCGTCCGTAGCCGCGGCCACAGACATCTGAGACATGGCCGTCCGCCAAGTTTGACGCTGCGGCCGCGGCTGCTGGCGATACATGATAGGCTTCTAGCGATACGCATGAGAATTGTAGTGAGAACTAAATTGAGTACTAAATTGAGTAAGTTCCCTGCCAGTACTGACATCGGGGTGGTGGGTGTAAGGATGATGCAAGTGCAAATGAGACTGCAAAATGCCTGGCCTCTCCCGCGGTGCCTCGTTCATCCCCGAACGTGCGTGCTTCCTGAGGGCCAGTATACCTTTGGGGTCCATGGAGGCATGAGTGAGTGGCTTGGTTCCATCTCTTGAGCACCCCACCCCTGTCCACGTCTGAGAGACTCGTCAGTGTGAGCAGATGGGTTACTCGTTCTGGGTGTTTGTGTTCCTTGCATCTTTCCTTCCGCTTAACTTGCTCCTCTACCCTCTGGGGGCCGGTCCTGCGACATGCTTGTCTCTGGCCAGGCCCTCGAGAGTCTCTGTCTTGACATGTTCTGACTTGGGTTGATGGCTTGCTCCATGTGTCGAATAAACGTTTGTTCCTGGTTCTGCTATGCTGCCTCGGATGCTGTCTCAGCCTGTCTGGTCTGCACTGGAGGCCCCTGTTCTCTCTATTCCTTCTCTCGCCAGGCGCTCCTGCATCTGAATGTGTTGTCGAAACCTTGCCTTGTGTCCGCCTTGTCTTTCACTGTTGCCTCGCCATGCATCCTCCGACTGCTGACACCTTGGACAGTTGGCCTCGGTATGAAAATACCATCTACACCTTCGACACCAACGTGTGTATGGGGTAACGATCTCAGCCTTCCAACGCCCGTCGGTGATTGGATCATCGTCAATTCTCGCCCTGGACTCCAGTGGCATATCTAGCTTCACATTCATCAACTTCGGCCGATCCTTGTCATATTCCAGAGAATGCATGGAGATAATCTCTCAAGGCATCCCCAACACCGCTCTTTCCAGAAAATAAACGCATCAAGGGGTACTCTTAAGGCCATTATCGAGAACTTGGTCTCTGCTTCGTGCATGCGAAGGCTCTGCAACTCCTGCTCCACCAGCCTTGGTTTGAAGGTCACAAGGTGCTCTGTCTTCCCTTCTAATTTGATTCCTAGTTATTTCTGCTGCATCGGCCAGGAAATAATCTCTACGGACTTGGCCACGTAGGAGGCCACGTTCTGACCCTAGAATTTCACTCCTCTGAGTTTCCAAGTGGCGACGTTGTACTCCATGATGCTTCCTAGTTTGCAAGGAGTGGACTTCTGCTTCCCATTGTTTGAGTAGTGGCCCTTACTAGGGAGTGAGAGTTTTCGTAGTATCCCTACCAGATTTGGGGATATTGGACCTATTTCCCTCTTTCCACTAAACTTGCACAAGGGCGGCCAGAGCATTTGCATCTACACCGCAGATGGCGAGCTATTAGCCTTCATTCGACCGGAAAACTACAAATTTCAGTTCTGCCCCAGTAACAAGGCTTCTCGCTCCTTGGCCTGTGTACTGCGCAAAAGAATGACTGCGGTATAATTGTAGGATCTGTCTCGGATTAAATGTGTTGGTCACGGGATTTTAATTACCCTGGTATTATACATCAGTCACTCTTTTCACTGCATTGCTGGTCGTCGTCTTTTTGCCTCCCGGTTTGCTCTCCGGCCATCGAGTTAGGAAAATGTAATACATGTTATCCTTCTCTCTCCTCAAACAGACTCTATTAATCCTAGTAGACGAGGAGAGACTTAACCCATACACTCGATTTTGTCTGTTCCCTTATTGAAATCCATAACATCTATTACAAAATTTACCGCCAAACTCCTTAACTACTCCAGGTTTTACCTTGCCCCAAGAGTCTCTTTCGTCAAATTCCTTCGTTTTCTAGGAGCTTCGTCTTTTCCACATAGATGCTCCACTCACCCTACGTTCTTATATGCTTCTTGACATGGTTCGGCCTCTATGCCATCCGCACTCCCATCTTGATGTCGTCAGAAGATAGAATGTCCATTTTCCAGTCCGTTAGCGCTCGCTATGCACGTGGCAAACCTGGTGAACAAGGTGCAACCCTGTGGCTATGTCCACTGTACTAGGCTACAAGACTACCAGGTTTACGACGAAGCGTCGAAGCCTACAGGCTACAGGCATAGCCTCACCTCCAAAGGGGAGGAGGGCGGCGCCAACTCCATAACTCCGTGCGGACCGTGCCTCATCGTGATGGCGAGGGTGAAGAACTTTCCGGACTCATTTTTCAAGAAAGTCCTTGGCATTTTCGTGAAGTCAGGGGGCGGGGTTCGGGGTCAGGTTGCGAAGTTTCTACAATTAGCATAGTTTGCCGGGTAGTTTGGACTGTTGGGGTAGGCAGGTGCTATTTTTGGATGTCAAGTAGTATATAACTGCAAGGTTCGAATCACTTTTCCTCTTCGACAGCGCATTGAAATTTAGGTTGTCATAATTAAAATTTAGGTTGTCATGATTGACCCATCATGGTCATCATGAACAAGGAAGCGGCAGTGGTTCGTCGGTAGGTTGGTAGGTTGGTTTGAACTGTGGTTTTGGGCCAGAGGAAAGAGCGGGAGAAAAACCAAGACCAGCCATGCGGAGATTCGCAACCGTGAGAACTTTCGTTGAAAGCTGTGTTTTCATTGCCTTTTTTTTTTGTTTTTTGTTTTTTGGAAAGTTTGTAAATTTATTGCAAAATATCAATAGGACGACTTGGAGATTTGTACTTTTATTGCAAAAAAAGCTGTAAATTTATTGCAAAATATCATTGCTGTTTTTTGCTAATAAGCCATGTGGCTTTTTTACTACGAGATTTGCACTTTGTGTGTTGATTTCATGACTGACTCGGAGAGTGTCATTTATTGCTGACAGCGTTACAGGAGCGCTACACAGTCTTCCCCCGAACACAACGCACCATCATTTTGGCTGTACCTGACCAGACACGTGGCTCATATACCCTCAAGATCAGGGTGCCTTGTGTTCGGGGGAAGACGGTAGCCGGCTGGTCCCACTGCCCCCCGGCTTGCCTGTTTCACCGCGCTCAAAACTTCTTACTTACGGACATATGCATTACGCAAGTTCACTTCCTCCTTTTTTTTTTTCTGAACACCCCCTCAGAAGACCCCCAGACACGTGGCTCATATACACTCATGATCAGGGTGCCTTGTGTTCGGGGGAAGACGGTAGCCGGCTCGTTCATTTCAGAAACAGACGTATAAGAGAGAGGGATAATTGGTTTTCGGCCCCCAAAGTTAGGCCATTTAGTACTGCACGCCCACACTTTCCGGGGCCAAGTCCCACTAGCAGCGTTGAGCTACCTCAACGCCCGAATCTGGACGCTTCTGCAGAGATGTGCAGAAATGTCGTTGAGTTTTCTGAACTGCACGTCTCCACAAACATGCCCAGATTCAGGCGTTGAGGTGGCTCAACGCTGCTAGAGGGACTTGGCCCCCGCTATATCCACCTTGCCCCACTTGCAGATGTGTCGAGTTGTAGGCGTGAGAACCATCGGAAATAGCCCAAGTATCACGCAATTTCGGGAATTTTCGGAGGCTGAAGTATTGCCGCCTGGGATGAGCTACATTACTGGTTACAACAAGGCCTGGGGCGAGGTCCCACTAGGAAAGCGGATTGGATTGAACGCCTGAATCTGGACGCATTTATGGAAAGGTGCACAAACGCGAGATTGAACTGCTTTTCTGCATTCGTGGCTAAAACGCATCCAGATTCAGGTGTTCCATCCAATCCTCTTTGCTAGTGGGACCTCACCCCTGGGGCGTGGTCCCACTAGCAAAGAGGATCGGATCGAATGCCTGAACCTGGACGAGTTTATGGAGATGTGCAGGGAATCGAGATTGAACTGCGTTTCTGCATCTGTACTTAAAACACATCCAGATTCAGGAGCTCGATCCTATCCTTTTTGCCAGTGGGACCTCGGCCCTGATCTCTCTAATATCTATGAAGTTGTTTTGCTCACTTCTAATTGTGATTTGTATTATTTCTCCCAATTTCCACTCAACTATTTGCCACACACCCTCTCCGATCAGTCCACAGGCGCAGAGGATATGGGGCGAGCTCGCACTTCCAAAGAGGATTGGAAGTGAAAAACCAGACCTCACCGCTGGTCAGGCAAGTAGCTATGGTTGAAACTTGAAACCCGTTTTCAACCTCCTGGCTGAGACAGATCCAGTGTCTGGACTGGTCAATATAGTCCGCTGCGTAGTGCGTCAGAACACTCAAAAAAAAAAAAAATAAAAAAAAAAAAATCGCTCTGGTTGTCACTCCATGCTCATACTTCCGATATGAACATCTTTTCCAGAATGCAAGACTAAACGTGTTGTAAACATGGTAGGGGAATAAAGAACGCTGAGGGAAAATTCAACTATTTTACGTCTAGACGGGATTGCGGTCAGATGCATACAGGTCCTGCCGTAAATGCGATCCAATACATTTTTAGGTGGTGCTAGTATATGAGGTGGCCCTGCCAGTGAGACCGGTTGCCAGCAGCCTCAGCAGGTGTTATTCGACATGAAGAAAACTGAGCTCTCTTCGTGAAGGGGAAAGTTATAGAACCTCCCCGCAGCAAAACCTTTGTAATCATTTGAGTCGCGCAGGACCCAAAATGACTTTATGCATCATTTTTGCACCCTGGAAAATACTTTCCCACTGTTTTTGCCAGCGGGCGTCACCTTTTGGCCATTTTGACGGGAAATGAAAACAAAGGTTTCGTCGTCGGCAGCTTCTATGACTTTTCCCAAGTTTTAAAGCGCAGGGCCATAGCCCACTTGAGGAAGTTTAGTTCGAGCTATAATGACCGTACGTTATACTCGGGTGAAGACTGTAGGGTGCACAATATTTTGTGATTGTTTGTGTGTGTGTGCGTGTGTGTGTGTGTGTGTGTGTGTGTGTGTGTGTGCATGTGTCACAGAGCCCACCTAACAGAAAACCAATGAGGAAGAAAACATAAGCAGGGCCCTGGGGGGAGGGTTCTGTCAGAACATAAGAAATAAAAATTCCTGATCTTCACAGTTCTTTTCGATCAAACCACACAAAAAGAAAAAGAATCCACAGACTCAAGAAAACTTCTTAAACTGAAGGGTATATTGCATGCTGCCCGTGGGCACCACGGGAAAGAAGAATATCAACACCACGCAAAATGTTAAGACAGCAAGAGCGTCGAGAATATTCAGACGTTCAGCTCCCGACGGCAGAATTCCCACCACTCATTTTTCACACTGCTACGGAAACGCAGAATACGCAGTGTCAGAGAATAATTCTTACTCCATCCTAAAAGACCAGCCGCTCAAAGATTATAATAGATCACAGACAAACACAATCCGTGATTGTTTGTGTGTGTGTGTGCATGTGTCACAGAGTTGCGTGAATGTAAGAAATAAATAAATAAAACGAGAGAGAGAGAGAGAGAGAGAGAGAACAGACTGAGAACCTTAAAAGGCTGAGTTTAAATACCCGTGAAGAAACCTGTTTCGACTGCAGATAGTCGGATATTGCCAAGTATGAAGTCAAATGCACGATGCTAATTTAGGAAGAGGAGGATCCTACAAATACCTAAACCACGAGTAGAAATCTTCTCCTTGCTTCCATACTCCTCAACGTGACTACATTTTAAGAAATCATTTGCAAGAGCAGTTCTTCCTCACCTGATAACAGTATTCACTGCTCTCTCTCTCTCTCTCTCTCTCTCTCTCTCTCTCTCTCTCTCTCTCTCTCTCTCTCTCTCTCTCTCT